TATGCGATGTATTTGCAGTATTAATAATGTTCAAAAAGTTACTGTTAGTTACAAAATTGTTAAGAATAAAAAGAAAAGTACTAGAGGATCAGAAAAGTACTAGAGAATTTTGATCATCCTCAAAAATATTAATCTACAATTAATAAATTTAGACGATTAAATATCAAAGAGATAACTAAAATTTGAAATAAAATAGTAACAAATATATAATATTGATTTTCAATTAATATTAATTCATATTAACAAAAATATTCGAGAATCGATTAAGTAGTTCGATACTCTATATATACTGATAAAACGAAAGATTTTTACTTGTAATAAAATGAAACTTTTACATATCAAGATATAAATTACAAGGAAAAATATTTCTTTATCCTAGTCTGAAATAATTAATTAATTCGACGGTACTGATTAATGAATCCCAAAGTTAGGCAAAGTTACGAACTTGCATTCTAAAACAACTATTTCGAACGCGAATTTCGTGTGATGATGTGGAGTAAGCAACCTTGATCTACGTCATGTGTCCGCAAAAATAAGAGCTACCCACTGCTGCGAAAGAGACCTTTCTCTCCTTTTTCTAGTAACGTTACACGTTATTCAACACGTCATAAATCTAAAACTAAATCGAAATCAGAAACAATATCAAATTGGTGTATCGTTGCTAATATATTCAGTATTCAAAATCAAATCGTTAAATAACGTCAAAGCGAATGTATTCGTGAAGTCAACAGGCAACTCTCACAGCTGTCTATCGCAACTTACTCTGGCCACAGTGTTCTATGATGATTTTAGTCACACACTCTACACAACGTGTGCATGTGCGCGAGTAAGCGCTTCCGCATCCGTTGGAAGTTTTTCCATCGTCCGATCAATGACCACGAAATCCAAAAGGCTCGTGAACCCGTGGAAAAGTGGGACGGTAGAGAAAAGGAAAAGAAAAGCGACGTCACTGTCCCTACGTCCATTGCATCCGTGAGATAAGAAGAAGACGTCGAAGAAGAAGACGAAGAAGAAGAAGAAGAGAGAGGGGCGTCTTTCGGGGTTTGACGGTAGTGACAATGCCAGTGCCTCGCGAGCTAGTTGGAGTTGAGGGCGACGACGGGATCGAGAAGTAAGAGAGGACGAGCTGTGTGCCAATCCTGGCCCCGGCCGATCGCGTAGTGTCTAGTGTGACGAGATGACGGGTACGCGGATGAGACCCGCGCTCGTCGTGGGCCTCCTCCTGAGCTTTCTAGCCGTTGCTTTACGAGGTCAGTAAAACCATCAGAAACCCCACGCGGATAAACCTTAGCATCTTGAAGATTGGATCGTACCTTGAGTTGGATCTCGCGAACATGAATTTATTCTCGTGCGGTCAGTGACTCTTCGTTAGATTTAAGTTCGATCGGTTGATCCTGTCGTAACCAATAGATTCAAAGTATCCAGCTTATTTGTCACTGAGTGTGTTGTATTTTGAATACTTGCTACTTGAATTTCTTTGCGATAAACTCAACTATGAACATTTCTTTATTAAATCTTGCCATCTCGATATCAAATATTAAGAGTTCTTCTTGATTGTGCCGTAACTAGATTGTTACAACTTGAACGTTCAAGCCAATCTTAAGCTGGTAGACTGGCTCCAAGATCGAAATTATGTGACCGAAGTTGCAGTAGCAAAGAAAAATGTGGGAAAGATAGCTCCTTCGAAACGTGCAATTGACATTGATCGTCGACGACAATGAAATTGAAATGTTGACGAAACTATGACGAATTGACTGACGAAGGTCAATGTTACGTAAAGATATCCGGTGCGCGTCATCAGTCCCTTATAGCTTTCTTGTTTCTCTACCTATATGTACTGATGATTCAGTCACAATTTAATATATCTCGCAGAATCTACTACTATTAAGAATCTTGTTGATCAATTCAATATTTTTTAAATATTTTTATCGAAAATAAGATTACATCTATATCTGTCTATCCCTTACATTTAATCAATTTTGATCATATTATTCTTTTTACATAATTTAAATCAATATACGATAAGTTTGAAAAATATTCGTCATAATTTTCTATTGATAATTAATAAAATAAGTGATTTTAAAATAATAACTAAACATTAACACAACTTTAAAAATAATAACTAAACATTAAATATATTTCAAATATATCCTATTTTGGAATAAAAATATTTCTTTTTTTACAATAACCGAAATTGTTGATGGCTGAAGAAGCACCTAACGCATCGTCTCAAAGTTCAAATAAAAGTCGTCGATTCAAGGATTTGTTATTTTAGGAATCGATGAGAGTTGGCTGTCATCAACCCGCACGATAATTACATAAGAAACCGCATAAATCTGTGTCAGCATCGTCCTAAGTTTCCAGAAACGAATTGTTTTAATTATGTGTTCCGACTATCATAAAACTCCTTAAAAATTTTTAATTCTTTTATAGCTTAAATATTATAACAAATCGCATAAATGCAAAATAAATTTATTCAAATCGATGTTTATGACAAATCAAACGCTTGCTTTCCACATAGCGTCACATAGTTCATTAAACGATTATAAATGAACTTTCGTTCGAGACAATGGATATTTTGAGGATTATGTTAAGAAGAGCAGTCTATCCACATTAAACTTTAGATTTGTATCAGATTTTCTGACAATTTATATTGCAAAAATTTCTTACAATTAAGTGCGACAAAAAGCTATACATATCGTAGACTATGGAACAAGATTCAGGATTCTATATTTACCCGGCGCAGCTGCGCTTGCCAAACGACAGCTGCCTGCGTGCATCTTCTCCTATCTCTCGTAACTCAAAATTCGCTCGTATTACTACATTATTCTGGAAACCGACAAGAGTTGAAAATTTTGCGATTGAAAAAATGATGGAATAATAGCGTACTGTTCGATAATAACTTAAAATGGAGTCGTAAAGAAAACTTAAGCTTAAAAATGGATCAAATCTTAAAAGATGAATTCAGAAGATGAATTTCAGTCTTAAGCCCTAAAACATGGTAGGAAATCACTATTTACTTTTATATTCAAATCGCGATGAGACATTAGTTCAAAGTGTGTATGTTGGAATCTCGAGAATATTATTCAATCAAGATATATAAAAGAAAAAAAGAATTGTATTATTTCTCACGTAACAATGTATGAAAATGACTTGACAATCCAATGAAAAAAAGCTAATAAAAAGGCTTTGATTAAAAGTAGGAAATGATTTCGTTTTTCAGCGAAGCTACAATTTGTGCCAAAAATTGCAGTATGTGATATAACAATGAGATATAGTGAGACACGTAAAGATATCCTACTAAACGAAACTTCTCGTGTTTACGATCACGTGAACTCGTAAATTGCAACAATTCTCTAACGTTTAAGATTCTCTACCGACAGCATAGCTCAAACAACTATCAAATAAAATTGGCAAGAGCCTTTTGCAACTTTGTCGATACCATTTTTATAGTCTTTATTTTATCGAATTAATTTCATCGCTTTTTAAAATACAAGTATAATAGGCAAATGAGAGTTAGGCGTTATTATAATTTAATTAGGCATAATTATAATACATATTTAGTTACATATAATAATATAATTGACAAACAAACAAACGTTTTGGCGCCTCCTCAAGCCATCTTCAATGTACAATCAAATTTTACTATTAAAGTCTCGACATCCTAATAAAAGATAAATTCAATCCAAGTTGACTAACTTTTTAAAATGTAATTGTCAGGTTATCTAATCAAGAAATTACAATTTTAATAAAAATACGTAGATAAATTTAATGATATTTATAAAGTTTATATCGTAATGGCTTGAAATTTATTCGGCATCATGAAAATTTCTATTTTTTTTTCCTAACAAAATCCAAGTTAGTATATCCGTTGATCAATGTTGATATCAATCAATCGATTGATAAGAATAATACAATGTCCTACTAAATAATGTCTGATCGACAGAAACGAGCACAGTCCAATCAACTCATCATTTTTCTTAAAAAGAGACGATAAAAATACGATTCGCCCGCCTAATATATAAATATTTTCGAGTGCTCGGCTCAAAGCCGCCTACCCGCCGCTAAACTTAGAAACCGGCCACGTCCCAGGTACCGTCTCGGAAAATGATATCGACATTTTCTTCAGAGTGGAAATTCCACCGTCTTCACATTTTGCAACGGTAGTACTTATTAAATTAGACCCCATCGCGAGTAAATTATACTATCGGTATTATAATACATTAAAAAAAAATCGATAAAAGCTTTTTCCTCGTAAACAGCTCTTTAACAAAATTTGAGATACAAATGTCTTAAGCAAGAATGCAGATTAACTCGAATAAGATGACACGAAAATTATGCTAATTATGTAATAAAAAATATTACATTGAATGCGTAAATCTAATTGTTAAACATATATATTAAATAAAATGTAAATCCAATTATTTTTTCTAGAATATTTAATTTCAAAATTATATTAAAAGACAAATAACATTTTAAAAAATATATAAAGAATTACCTATAGCAAAGAGTCCAAAATCTTTCAAGTAGTTAAAATTATCTATACAAAAGAACCTCTAGATCTCAGAACTCTGGAGAGAATATCTAGAAAGTCTCCGAGAATTATTACAGCTACAAATGAAATCGAATGATTGGAAAACATCATTTTAAATACAAAATTCTTTTTTATTTAGTGTACGCTTTTTTTATCTCACGGTTTTTCTCTTTATGTTTTCGCAATTCCATATATGGAAAAAAAATGTTTGGTTGAATTAACTGAAATTCTGGTGGAAAATAAATGATTCGCAGAATTCCAGGATTCCAGTTAATTCAACTAAACATTTTTCTTTGTGCATGAATCAAATTTTGCAAAAAACCTGTGCTAATCACTGCTAAAGAAATTCTCTTACTTTTCCCCAAATTTTAATCAATTTTCAACTACACCAAGTAAAAATATTTGCTAAAATTTAATTAAAAAATATAAAATACTCAAAAATACTTAAAAAATAATATGTAACAAAAATTTAATATATAACCAAAGAATAAAGGCATAAAAAATTTTTTCAATTTAATTTTTAAATTATATAACATTATATGTTTTTTGTTTTTTATTGTTGAATAAAATAAAAATATGTTGAATCCTACAAAAATTTGGAATGAGAAAAATCTAACTAGAATTTCTAAATACTTAAATAGAAATTTTGATAAGAGATTAAAATAAACAAGAACCAGCTAATTAATCATACGTATGTAAAATCTGTTTCTAAAAAAAAAGTGCACTTAATGCGGCAATGCAAACTTTCGTCAGACACGTCGGATGACAAGTCGCGCTAGGTGTTCCTGAACACCTGTCACCAGGCATGAACACGCGCACAGCTCGCTTGGCGGTCATCAGAGTGTGCGTAATGACTTTGACAGGTTCTTACGTCACCTGTGGGTCAGATATTTCGGGTTGGTGGTCGCGTGGCGTTAAACTCATCATCACCGAAGCCTGTGTTTCTCCGTGCAGGGAGTTATCTAATACCGCGCGCGATATCTTTTGGCACGGCCACCATTAACGCGCGCATCGAGAATTCTCCTAGCCAAAAATTTCTACTAGCCAGAGTACTCGGCAAAACGCTAACAATGTAAATATTTCGGCGACGTATGTAAGACTTCTGGCATGTCAACTTCGCTATTCGATATCGCGAAATTATCAGACAAGGTGAATTGTATTAAATATCATAATTATCTTTTATTAAAAAACACATGTGTCTAAATAAAGCATTTTCCAATCTTTTTCAATTCGCAGCACATTAAGTAACAAGCCAAATTTTTCGATGTACATCATTAGGTGCACACGCTTCAGTGCTGAGCATAAATCTTTTCTGCTATAATACGACATTTAGAAGTCGCTATAATGTGACATTTAGAAATAAAAAGTTGTAAAGTTTTTATTTTTAATATTTTAAAAGTGATTTTATTTAGAATGCAACGGATAATGATTTGTCGGATAATTAGATACCGGATCTTATCCAGTAAAGCCGAATAATCAGATAAGATAGATCAGATTTTTTACAGAAATTGCACAAAGAGATTGAAAAATCTCATAATTTTTTTACAATAAAGAGAATTTTTTTATATAAACCATTATATGCTATTAATACCATTATAGATTTAACATTTATTACAAAAGAAACAAATTAATTACCTAATAATGCAGAAATGCTCACATTTATTTAAAAAAATATAAAATACTCAAAAATACTTAAAAAATAATATGTAACAAAAATGTAATATATAACCAAAGAATATATAAAGGCATAAAAAATTATTTCAATTTAATTTTTAAATTATATAACATTATATGTTTTTTGTTTTTTATTGTTGAATAAAATAAAAACATGTTGAATCCCACAAAAATTTGGAATGAGAGAAATCTAACTAGAAATTCTAAATACTTAAATAGAAATTTTGATAAGAGATTAAAATAAATAATTATTAAACAGATTATTATTATAAATATTAGAAATAGTTAAGATTTATCATTGATAATGACTGAATAAATCTTTTGTTCTGTTTAAGGAATTAATTTTTCGTTATTTATCTAGCAGAACATATAAAATATAAGACAAATTTCTTTTTTAAACTCAGGCAAAAAATTAAATGTTGAAATAACGCTTTAGGAGTGCAATGCGAAGACGAGCAGGTACCATCCGAGGACCTTTGTCGACCGTACATCGAGAAGGCGCTCAAGGATCTCGGCACAGGTAATACTAGGTGATGACGAATACTCAGCTGGAACACAGCGATTTCTAGAATATTTCATTTGAAGGATCTTTGGAGCAGACCAGTGCAGAGGTCGGAACCGAGATCGATCAAGAGAACGATCTCGCAGATGATGAAGAAGCATCACCTACCAGCGAGGAAGTAAGCCTTACTCTATTCATATAATATAAATTAACCTTTTTGCGATGTACAGAATGTTCCAAAGAAATCTCTACTACTAAAAATTTATTTATTTAGGCCGGCGAGGCAGCAGACGATGTTTCGAAAGAAGAGACTGAAGACAAGGAGGGATCGGTAGAGGAAAGCGCTGAAGCGGCTGCTGACGAGAGTAAGGAAGCAACCGAAGAGCAAACTGACGCTAGAGAAGAAAAAGAACAGGAAATAGAAGAAGAACAAAGTGAAGAAGACGCGACTGATAAAAGTGTTGAAGAAGGTAGAATAGAATTAATAATCGTTGATGCTTTTTAAATAAATATTGACATTTCCGAATTTGTTAAAAATGCAAATATTTAAGACATAATAAAAGAAAATAACAATATTGTTCAGAAGAAGCAGAGAAAGCTGAGGAAGCGTCCACTGAGGCAACTGAAGACGAAGAAGAACAAACCGACTCCTCCGAAAAAGTGATAGAGAGCGAAGAAGCGAGAACTGAAGAAGATGAAAAGCTCGACGAAGAAAAATCTGACGAAGAAACAAAAGTAAAAGACGAAAAATTCGAGGAAGAAGAAGTAGACGACGAAGCAAAGTCCGAAGAAGAAAAGGAGGAAGTCGATGAATCGCAAGCTGAAGACGAAGAACAAAAGGAATCCAAAGAAGCCACTGAAGAAGTAGAAGTTGAGTCTAATGAAGAGGTAGAAACTCAACAAACATCCGCGGAAGTCAGTGAAGAAGTTGAACAAGAATCTGATAAAGAAGAAGTTGACGGTAAAACTGACGAGGCCGAATCGATCGAAGATCAGACGGTAAGCGATGAGGATGAGAAAAGTGATATAGACGAGAAGACTCAGGATGAAAGCGCTGAAGCTGAGAGTGAAGAAAAAGATGAAGAAAGTGCAGAAGATGCTAAAACAGCAAGTTCCGAAAGTGTAGAAGAAGAAACAAAATCAGAAGAAGCAGAGGCAAAATTTGCTGAAGAAGAAAAAGAGGAAGAGGATACGACAGCAAGTTCCGAAAGTGTAGAAGAAGAAACGAAATCAGAGGAAGAAGAAACGAAATCAGAGGAAGACGAAACGAAATCCGAAGAAGCTGAAACAAAATCCACGGAAGAGGAAGACACGAAGACTGAAGAGGAAGATGGAAAATCGGAGGAAGAGGACGCAGAATCCAAAGGAGAAGGAAATCAAGATGTAAAATTACGTAACAAACGAGAAATCGGTGAAGAAGGCGCTGAAGCAGATGGCGAATCTTCGGAAGAAGGTAAAAAAAATCTTGTAATTAATATTCGACCTTATGACAATTCATCCTCTTCATCTGCCAGGCTTATGATATAATTATATTAATAATGCTACATTCTATATTGTTGACACAAAAATATAGTTAATATAATTTACAATACAATTCTCGCTGTCAGTTGCCAGTGATGAAGAACAAGAACCAACTCCAGAGGAGGATCTGATTCAAGAAATCGAAATTCCGGAAAATCTTCGACCCAGAGAACACATTAACCAATTATTAAAATTGGACGAAGAAAATGAGGCAAAAGAGAGAGCTATACAAAGAGAAGCTGATATTATTCTTAGGGATTTGAAGAGACTTTATGATAACGCTATAAAGCCGTTAGAAACTATGTACAAATATAGAGACTTGAGTAATAGGCATTTCGGAGGTAAGCGATTATATGATTTTAAAATTAATTGTATTTTTTATCTTTTGATTCATTCAATTTCAAAATATGTATATATATATACATATATATATATATATGTATATATTAAGATAAAATAAATAATATACTCTTAACTTTAAGATTTCCAATATAATCTATTATTATTCTAATTTATTAGATCCCGAGATATTCTCCAAGCCACTAGTGCTATTTATGGGACCGTGGAGCGGCGGGAAATCATCCATCATTAATTATCTACTCGACATCGAATACAAGCCAATGTCATTGAGGACAGGTGGGTAATTAACTAAAAGAGGAATGTGATCTCTCTTTGTTACATTTTTTCTTTGGCTTTGCGCTGGTAAAGTAGTCAAGACTTAGTGATAGCTGGCATGCTAGGAGCATGAATATACAGAGAGTGTTTAGGTGGTTTGAGAAAGTGCTTAGAAGAGCATTGCAAATCGCCAAATGGAAAAAATGACACAGGAGCCGAGCCATCACCGGCCTACTTCAACATAATAATGCACGGCGAGGAGGAGGAGGTTCTTGATGGCACCCAGTTGGCCGCCGATTGGACTTTTTCGGGATTGCAGAAGTTCGGACAGGGTCTACTAGATCGTCTCAGAGGCCTACGACTTAATAATAACTTGCTAGAAAAGGTAAGCGATTGTAAAAGATTTTTATCCGTCTACAAATATTTATTGCATATCGAGAATGTACGTTGACAAATAATGTGGAATCAATCATATTGATCGATAAAAACTGAAAATTTGGAATTTTTCATTAGAATAAATATTTAGAACGTTTCATATTTGAAACTTTAACGATTGATTTTCAATCAAAATTATACAAAATAAAATTTGTGCTCTATTCTTTAATAAAATTAAGAAGTTCTGAGTTAAAGTTGTAACTAATTTTTAAATCATCTTATTTAAATTAATTACGCATGATTAAAAACGTATAATGAAAGGCTTTAATACGAATAATAAGTAAAAAAAAATTGTAATTGATATTCACAACTACAATCATTGATGTTATTCGAAGCATAATTTACGCGTGTTACATGATAAAACTATTATATAATAAAATTCTACATTAATTATCAAATATTATTAGGTGAACATTGTCGAGATTCCGGGTATTTTAGAAATTCGAAAGCAAGTTCAACGGTTATTTCCCTTTAATGATGCCTGTCAGTGGTTCATCGATCGAGCAGACATAATATTTTTGGTTTACGATCCCGCCAAGTTGGATGTTGGTCCCGAAACCGAAGCGATTCTTGACCAATTAAAAGGAAGAGAATATCAGGTGAGATGATAAAAATAATGAGATAAAGTTATTTGCCCCAAAAAGATTGTCCTAGAAAAACGCCTAATATAACATTACTTTCACACAGACCCGTATTATCCTTAACAAAGCCGACCAGGTAAAGCCCGAAGAACTCATGAGGGTGCAAGGCGCCTTAATCTGGAATATATCACCGCTCATGTCAAGTGCGGAGCCGCCAATAATGTATTCCACGTCGTTATGGTCATTACCCTACGAGGCTGGTGCGCCTATCAGGTTGTTGTACGCTCAAGAACGCGCATTCCTTCGCGACCTACGTTCCGCAATAAACAAGAGGGTTGAGCACAAGATAGCAAGCGCCAGAAGATTCGCCGTAAGTTCACATCAATTTTAAAAACTATGAAGCTGATTCAAATTCGGAATTCTTCGTTCTCATCCCTAATACTTAGAGTGTCGTACATAGCCGCTTCACCATGCAACTCGGCTAACTTGAGTGCGTTCATCAATCGATCTATGAAAAATTTCCGAATCTCAGACGAGTCCTTAAGGGTATATAATTTTGAAATTATATACATAGGATTTAAAATTAACGGGAAATAGTCAGGACAAAACTAAGCAATAACTTGCTAATTACACGCATATATTTAATCGTAGGATACAAATAAACACGGCAAGAAATATTAGCGATAATTATGGAAAAATTAACGGAGCCAATTGCAATTCGGAATTTTTCGTTCTCATTCCTACAAGACCTAGTACTGTTAGCGTGCTATTTGTACTTGTGTCATGTCACGACTGTTTTATTCTCTTATAATTATTCCGATCATCTATAAATACTTTTAATTGATCCTACAGTTGTTCTTATTTTTATTATAATTCTACAAAGCAAAAAATAGTGTCTTTCCTCGAGAAAATAATATAGAAATGAACAATAAGAAACTTATTAAAGAACTAAAAGATCAACTATTTTATTACTATACTTTAGAATAATTCTATTTTAGTAAAAAATTTATTTGATGCGTTCTATCTTTGGCAATTTCAGGTACGAGTACGTAATCACGCTAAGATGGTGGACTGTTACCTGACGACGTATTACAATCACAAGACATTCTTCGGCAACAAGCGGGAGATAAGCGACAAGATCATCGAAAATCCACAGGACTATCATATCTACGAAGGCCTCAGCACTCTCACGAATATATCGCGCTACGATCTACCAGATCCGGATGTCTACCGTGATTTCTTCCGACTAAATCCACTTTATGATTTCCCATTGCTGAGTTCTACATGCACGTATTTCCGCGGCTGTCCGATCAACAGGCTTGATGTATCCATCGCCTACGATCTACCCGAGTTGGTGGGCAACTATAAGAAGTCGGTAGAGGCGGTGTTGCACGAGAGCGAAGGTAACAGTCCACCGAGTTGAGTGCGTATTCGCGTTCCAGAACGGAGCTCTTGATACCATGTGAAATACGGACTGGCGATAAAGCGACGTTTACCTCCGCTAGACCGAGAAGAAACACTCAGCCTGTAGCCGAAATGCCTTGGTAGCTTAAAAATGCTCGATGATGGTGAACGAGCTGAAAAACGTGGTCCGATATTTGAGATGGTACCAAGGATTTTCTTCTTGAAACACAGGCAACTATAGATCGCGCTATCCTCGCAAGTTGTATTCGAGCTGTTCTAATGACAAAAAATCGATTTGTAAAAGAAGCTGACGGTCGCGAAAGCAACGGAAGCGGAAAGGCATGGAGTCTTGAAGTATAAAAATTGGAGGTACCATCACTTGAACGGGCGAATAACGCCATATAATTTCTAGATCCGAATAGTTTAACCTCGTCCTTCACAACATATGACACAATGTGAAAAAAACGTGAACATGCTGTGGAGTGTGATATCATGAGTTCAGTGGTCGAAACACTTCCTCGGTTGCAGAAGAAGAGCAAGTGTACTGCTTGTGTCTGGTAAAACAATGCTAGTGCTACCATTCCGATCCAAAAGCGGACAATGAGAGTTCCCTTTGAATTTATGTGTTCAGATATCATATCGATTCAGCGAAAATTCAAGGCTTCGGTGCAACAATAGTTTATCTTACTTTTCTAGGTATTTAAAAAAATTATCAACATTTACAGAATTTAATCAAAATTCAAGATAAATTTTAAGGGATGTAAAACCGGATCATAAAATTGCCGGATATTGGATAGAATGTGACACCGGATATTCAATATCAGGTCGAATATCCGATAGGACAATTATCCGACTAGATATCGGATATTTTCCGGATATCCAGTAAAATTTCTCTATTCTATTTTACAAAAAAAAAAAAGAAAGAAAAGCGAGGGAAATATAGCGATAATAACTTTCTTTATCTCACCAAAAAAGAAAAAGAGGAAAGATGAACTATGCAAGAAGTTCAACTGAAAAGAATAGAATTCTGCATCAATGACACAAACTTTAAATATAAAATTTCAACCGGATATATACTTCTCGATACTAATGGTATCTGGCTATCCAGCTGAATAATAAAAAAGGATCGGATAAGGCCGGATCCCAGATATCCCTAATTTTAAACCTAAAAATTTCTAATTTCAAAGAATAACATTATATCATAACTTTTTGACTTTTTTCAAAAAATTCAATTTTGACATTTTTATTCATATTTAATAATAATTTGAAAAAAGTTATTTTCAGAAATAGATATTGATATATTTATAAAATTATAATTTTATTTTAGATAATTATATCTCATAATTTTGCATAAGTTTCATCTAATTGTCTTATTATTAATTATTATAATTTTAATTTCCTAAAGTTCTTGAAAATGTAAACTAAGCTACTGTTGCACCTAATACTTAATTTCTCGCGACAAATCGGCGTCTGCTGATTATCTAAAAAAAAAAAAAAACAAAAAAAAACAAAAAAAAACAGACTCTCTAGAATCGATGTAATGTTGAGCAACAATCTCGTCCGCCAAATTCCTCTGTACCGGGGAAATTAAACTAATACCGAAATATTTCCATTGCGAAAAAGAGATAAGATGATCTCTTCTTGTGGCTTTTGTGGAATACCTCGTATAAGCTGATTTTGTGTTCTTATATTAAAATGTGTAATTAAATTCATTAAAGCTATACTGATCTCTCACGCATTGCTCAGTTAATGCGTGAGACGAATGGTGATGTTTGTTTTTGATCAAAAATGTAGGCTTCCTTCTAGTTGGCGCGTTAGATAGAATAAGTTCCTTTTATCTTTAAATACTGAATTTTAAAAAATTTTGGATATCAAAATTAAATTTTTTCCAAATTCTTAATTGCCTAACTCTGTTCAGAGTCACAAAGTTTTAATTAATTCTTCCAAGTCTTCAATTATTAAATTTTTGAATTCTAATGACTCTTAAGTCACAAAATTCAATGTATAAAATTAAATTTAAATAATTTTAATAATCTTTTTATATCTTTAAATCGTTTTTGTTGCTATCTGTTTCAAATATATTTCATTAATTTTGATTTTCTTTAACTTCTGAGAGAGAGAGAGAGAGAGAGAGAGAGAGAGAGAGAGAGAGAGAGAGAGAGAGTAATTGGATTTATAATATCATGACTAATCAAATGACATCAAGATAAATACAACAACGGTAAGCAAGCTTTTTGATTTACATGAAATAATGGTATAAATATAACGCGACTTAGCGTTTGAATAAATATATTGATATTATTATGACTATTACGTTGTTGCTATTGTCATCATTGTTATTCTACATTATACAAAGATTATATCAAGTAAATCTAATGTTACAGATACATGTATGTTATGAAGACTATCTATTTTTTAGAGTTAACATATTGGTATTATATATCAGTGCGCTGCTCGCCCTGATAAAGCGAACGGCAAGGTTCACGAAAAACATTGGCATTAACAATGGATAAAAATACAGCGATAACCCGCAAATCTTCTGGTATCTTTGAAAAATATTGCTCTCGTCACTAAAAAAGTTCTCTAAGAAATTTTATAGACTTATAAAATTTAAAAAAAAATTTTTACGTTTTATAAGTTGGCGAAACAAATAAGCAACAAATAAAAATATTAGTTAAAATTGATTCTGCTCACTTTGTTCCGTTAATTTATAAGATGTAACTTTTTTGTAGAATTTTTTAAACTCAATTATGATGTTTAAAAATAAAAAGAACTACTATTTCTTAATTTTTATTATCTTCTAGAGAGGCGCATGGCTCTATGTAAACGATCAATTAAAAGATTCAATCATGACCTTCATTCCATACGCCTCGATTTTATAAGAAGTTAATTAGAGAATGGAAATTGAGTTGTAACCTGATGTGCAGTATTTCCCATGCAGAACATAAAGCGATACTTACATTCGGTGTAGTCTCACGTAGCCATTCGTCTGCTTGTTCATCGAAATCCAGCTTACAGGCTAGTCTCAGATCGTTTGCCGCTTCCTCGAACATTCCAAGCAAATGATAAGCTCTTCCTCTAAATTTGTAAGCCGCTGCGCTATCTGGATTTAATTCTATAGCACGGTTGCAATCACGAATACAAGCATTCGGCTTGTCTAATATTAGGAAAACTTGACCGCGTTTAGCATATAATAAGGCTGCTTGAGGATTCAGTACAATAGCCTCTGTATAAAATTGTATAGCTGTTTCATAATCTTTCTCCACGAATGCAGAGACTGCTTCAGATCTTTTTGCTTGTGACTCTGCGATTTCCTCCTCATTGGGCTGTAAAGTCAAATTTCCCATTTTTTGAGGAGCATCTTCATCAGGTTCTAAAAAAGAAAGATATAAGCATATTATATTATTATAAATATTTATTATAAAAAACAATGTGTAAGAATATGTATACATAATTTGTAAAAGATAAAAACATAAGACAAACCGATTACGCCAGTCATATCCAATTCTAAGTCGCTCTCTTCACTCTTTTCACTCTCTTTACTCTCTTCACTCTCAGATGTCGATTCAAATTGTGGTTGTTCAGGTTTGTTCTCAAATTCTGTTTTGGTATCTGAGGAATCATTTGCTTTAGCTTCTGGTACCTTACCACCATAATGTTCTATTAAATCCTTAATACAGGACAGTTTTGGATCATGAAGAAGAGATGCATCACTCATGCATTGCTGAGTAAACAATTTTAGCTGTTGTGTGACCTTATCACTAAACACAGGCACCTCCATGTTATCTGCAAACATGTCGATTTACCAAATCATATCAAATGCTCCGTTTGTAAATTCAAGTAGCCTAACCAAAGGTTACTCTTGCGTAATAAACCATCTATTGATGTTGTAGCGCAAAAATATAAAAATATATGTATCTTTAGGCATTCAAAAAACATCTATCTATGATATCTAATTCGAAAAACACGCGACTCACGTTCTGCCTTATAATGCCGGAATAATTAAGAATTGTGAATGCAAATCAGATGAACTCACCACTGATTATGAACGAATGATCTTCCGAAATAATCTTTCCGAAGTAATTCGTGAACTATTGTGTATATTATATTATTTATGTTTTACCTCCGGATCAGTTTGTTCAAGTGCACAACAAATACTGCATGCACAACGCAACGTCCCGTAATCGCATTCAAAACCGGATATGGAATTACGAAGAACGCAATACGTTACAACGTTGTCACAGTATATACAGTAGCGCAACTCTCTGTCGGCATCTTTGGTATTAGTGTTAGCCAAAATGGAGCGCGCATGCGTGAAATAAATAAGTTACCTAGCATTGCCATGGTTACCAACTAAACTTCTTTCTCTTTTCATCCTTTTTTTACTCTTATTTAAATAGAGAGAGAACAATAAAAAAAAGGAGGGAAAAAACGAAGCAACTTCCTTATTTTACGCATGCGTACTCCATTTTGGCTAAGACTAATACTCTTTCCACCATGCTACTTACTATTAGCGCGAGTTCTGATTGGCCACTGTTTATCCATTCTCTGCTTTTCCGTTAAGATGTAAACGCGCCCTAAGTTGGACTGAAAATGGCGGAACCAATCAGAAAAGAGAACACTATCCGCTTTCACTTTCTCTTCGTTAAAAAATGGCTAACCAAGCAAATCAATACGATTGGTTGTTTCTTATAGATCTAACCAATCACATCACTCGGCGAGCAGGCTAGCCGTTTTATTCAATTCAAACGTTGCCATTGGGTGCATCCAGAACGACAACCGCTCACTAATAAGTGCCCAGTAAGCTCTGTTATGTTGATTGGTCTATATTTTAGAATCTAATGGAATATGCCAATCGGATGAAAGTGCTCATTGAGCGCTTCGTGAGCGGTTAACGTTCTGGCTGCATCCATTGTCCGTTTAGAGCGCATGCGCTTGACGGCGCCATTGCAGTGATACGCATCGAGTTGAATTGTCGAATAGAGTCCGCCGTCTAGTGTATCGCGATATCTCTGCGACGCCCGTTTGCTCCGAACCGAAGTCCGAAGTACCGAACTACTCCGAAGTGTGTGACTCGAGTCTCGAGCCAGCGCGAAATCGCCATTTTATGTGTTTGGCACTGTCACAGCCGTCAGAGCCGTGAGAGGACGAGGGTGACACACACACACACACACACACACACGAGTGCGTGCGTGCGTGCGGTGCGTGCGGTGCGTGCATGCGTGCGGTGCGGTGCGGTGCGGTGCGGTGATCGTGCGGTGCTCGTGCGGTGCGATCCGAGATACACTCCGTGATACACTCGAAGGCTAAGAAGAGTACCAAGTCCGTCCGTTCGGAGCTGGAGTTGGAGTGCTGCGATTCACAGCGTCGTTAACATGTTGCCCGAACAACGGCCGGACCTGGACGCATATAAGTAACGACGGCGGCGGCCATCGGCCATCGGCGAAGAGCTCAATTGAGCGAGCGGGGTGTCGGTCGCCGTCGCGGTGCGAGAGGCACACACGACACGACGCTGCCCATCGAGATGGTGTAGCGTAGCGCGCGCGCGCGAGGCGGGCCCCTGCGTGAGCGCGAGAGAAAGAGTCTGTTTTTCCTCATCCTCATCGTCGTCGCCGTCGCCCTTGTCCTCGCCGTCGTCCTCCTCGTCCTCCTCTTCGTTCTCCTCTTTGTCATATCAGTCATAGTACTCGTACTAATACTCTTCTCGAGAATACAGTGCATTTGCGCTAAGCGACTCATCTCTCCCGCTCTTTACTCCCCTTTATATCCTCCAACTCTGTCGTCCTCCTCGGTGCCGACGATCGTCTTGACGATCACTGTGCCATCGTCATCGCCGTTATTAACATCGTTGTCGTCGCCACCGCCGCCGCCGCCGCCGCCGTCGTCGTCGTCGCCGCCGCCGTCGTCGCCGCCGTCGTCGTCGTCGTCGTCGTCGTCGTCGTCGTCGTCGTCGTCGTCGTCGTCGTCGGCGGACGTCGTGAAATATTCGACGTCATCGAGATCACGGATCCCACCGATTATCCTGGATTACACGCGACACGACGTCTCCTGGCCATCAGTTACGATGACTACGGTGCGCGCTGTACCCTCGGATAAGGTAAGCCTCTCTCCATCTATCATTCACTTTCCTGTCTCCTATATTTTTTTTCTGCTACTTGTTTATTTGTCGCTCTATTATTCTAAACTCGAATGTTTCCCTTTCCCTAAAATAGCAGTAAACGCTTCATCATATCGGGGGGAGGGGGGGGGATGCATCCATCTATCCTCTATCAACTTGTAACACGTCTACCGCACCCTCCCGGCGCCCTATCGTCTCGTCCTCACGAAGGACAGCCTCGCCTCCTTCTGCCTCTCCTACACGCCTCCCCCGCAACCACCACCTCTTCCTTCTCCTACTTCTGCATTTCCTCCTGCTCGCCTTCCACCCTTCCTCCTCCTCCTCCTCCTTCTCCCCCACACCTCCCTTCGCATACTCCCGAGTAGAGCCTTTTGCGCCATGACGTCGGGAAGCTGTGAGATATACGTCGAACGTGACACTACGCGCATCTGCCGCTCCGCGACAATTTTGCGGTCGGCAGGATTTTCGGAATAAACGATGAATAAACTCTCACTGCATGCGAGAGAATATAATTCATGCCAAACGACCCCTGCTAATCTTTGTTATCGCTGATGATGACTTGAAGTAAGCCGTTCGGTTTTATCTATCGCGGTGTTATTGTAAATATGTAATTTACAATAAGTTGCTTTGTTACTGCGCACCAATTACCGCGCCGTTTCTTTTATATCTGTCCGTTTATGTAGTTGTTTTAATCTCGAGAGTCCACTAAAGTTATGAATTTTTGTCAAACGATACATTTCCTCCGTGCGTGCGCGAGCAATTGCGGTTGGAAAATGAAAAATGAAAGAATAAGGTAAAGAGCCAGGATGAGGGAAGAGAATTAAGATCGCGTATCGTTTTCCGGAATTAATTAAATGAACATTGATTTCAACAAGAAAACTGATTGTTTTCCAACTTGTGTTAAATAATTCGGACTCGTGCATTTTAACGCTCTTTGCCTTGACACTCTAGAACGATTAAAGACGCTTCGCTGATGATGAAAAAAAAAGAAGAGAAAGAGAAGGGAAACGAGATAAGATGCGAAAATATGAAATGTCACGCTTAACTTACTTCCAAGCCAGACGAGATATTGACTGCTCCAATTTAGAAATATCGAATCAATGCTTCCCTTGTCTGTTTATCTCCATTGTCGGCGCAGGCTGCATGTGTTTTGACAAGCTAGTTAGTAATGTTATTGTCATTGTATATGAATTTATTTCACGTATAAGAGAGAGAGAGAGAGAGAGAGAGGGAGAAAAATTTTCCGTTCTTATTTCACTGATCTCCATTGAATGGAAAACTCTTGAATTGGGCGGCACCACTTAGCGCTAAATGCATCATTAGATCCCATGGACCTCTCGGTGTCTTTAATGCACGCTCCGTTTCGTGATGAAACACGTTCGAAGCTACACTTGTCATTATATTCTCCTCCTCCTTCCCCCACTTTGTCTCTCTTTTGCTCTTTCACTCGTGTATCATCGTGCATTTAACGCGTGTGCTTAACTATGATCTGAGTCTCATTTTTATGTCACGCTACTCGTCGTGCTCGTTATTCTCACATAATGACACGTTACTTAACGCTGGATATGAAACACGAAATATCGCTAAATGCAAAAAAAAAGAAAAAAAAGAACGAATGCCGGAATTCTGAATTTTCATTTCTCAGCATTGGAAAGAGAACATATTCTCTCATCGTATGTTGTCGTCATTATTATATGAGTGCCTGATTTTTTTATGATAAACCAAAACGGAAAAAAACGGAGATATTATTGCTGTATTTGAACAGTGATGTTAACGCTGAGGAAATTTTATAAACTTAACGATTTGAAATAGTACACCTTGCTGTATTTCTATCAGTTAACATGCGTGTCACATTTTAAAGCACTAATAGAAATACACAAATTTCACAATTCTGAGAAAATTTAAATTAGTAAGATTTACATATTTGCCATTGGAAAAAAATGCTCGTTTACTTGCATTAAACGAGTTCGAGGTATTTTTTGCAAAAAAAAAGAACATAAAAACATAATGAACGTCTTTTTGCATCGAGATGTTTGTATCTTGATATATGAGAAAAAAAGGCTATCAATTTGCGCGGAAAATAACGGCTGACTTTAACCTTAAATTAATTTAAATTTATCTACTCCGGCTTTTATATCTTATTATATAATAAAATATTTATCTTTTATCTATATTATTATTATTATCATATTAATAAAAATAATTTCCGTAAATTCGAAATATAATTAAACTTTGATCTTTTTGCAAGATTAATTGTTATATGTAATGCATGACAATTTTTGTTGCATAAAGCGTGAAATTGGTAAGAATATGGCATGAGATCTGCATATTTTATATGTTTAAAGTCTGTAAATGGGATTCTCAATAATATTAAAAAAAAAAAGCTCACGAATAAAAAATTATTACTATTATTTTCTAAATTTTCAATTCTTACCAATATATCGCATATTTATTATGAACGAATTCGATCGCAGTCCTGTCAATCGCTTATCACATCGCTACTTTTCCCTTCCTTTCGTTCGCATCGAGTTTTTCCGCGGAAAATTGCGAGGCGCGATTACGTCGTGGCATCGAAAGGAAAGTTGGGGCCGGATTTCACTCTATTATCATACTTTTAGAAATTAATATTTTCATTTTGCGTTAGCCTTCTCATTACGAACTTGAGACACCAGGCAACAGTGCTCCTTCGCGCATCAACTTTACTTCTCATCGTGTTCGCGTGTGGGTCGATGACTTCTTAATGTAATATTCAGGAATTAAAGGCTTTACTCTTCTTACAATTAGATATCTGGATATAATTAAAGTGTCGGGTGGATCTTTCATAAAACTTAAAATTCATCTCTGGTTTGACTTCGTATAATAATAATGTCGCATTTATGTCCTCAAGCTTGTAAATCTAAATGTCCATCTAATGTTAGAACTATATTGTTAAATATTACATACATTTCATTACAAATCGAATCTCTATTTTGAAATTTTGCATTAAAATAGAAATTAATAGAATTTAATTATTCTATTTCTTTGCAATGTTTAATTATTTAATTTAAAAAAATCTCTTAATATACAACTATAAAATGAACTTTATATTGTAATATTTTATATAATTTTCAAGTCCAATTTCTTTTTGGTGCCATTTAATAATACATATTTGTTTTTAAATTATTTAATATATATTGTAAAATATAATATAAAATATGATCCTAGTAAATTGTTTATTATTGCGTATATACAATATACATATATAAAGTTTGGCAAAACAGCAAGAAAGGAAAGTTTCAATGCAGTCCAGTTCCAGTCTTTTAGTTCCAATGCAGCAACAAAAAACAAATCCACATCTAATAACTAATAACTTTTAATTAAAGGAGCTTGTTTTGTGAAATTGAACATGTATATACCTATATTTATATGCCTAAAATCTATCTTCTAAATAAATTTCATTAACTTGTCGTTATTTTTATAGTTAGTACTTGAGGTAAACTTATACAAAATATCATAAAGTCTTATTTCCTGATAATATATTCGTGTTGTTAATATTTAACATTTGACAAGATAAATCATATCTTTTTATTTATAGCATATATTGTAAATTATCTTCCCATTAAAATCTTTTGGGGAAAAAAGAATGAAATAGTATATCTACATATTCAACGAAAAATGTAAAATTCAATCGAAAGATTGACAAAATTTAAATCCATTGTGTTATTCTATTAATTATATCACTCGTTCTTTTCCTTCGTATGTCACACAAATAAATAATAAAATCGTCAGAACAATGTTTTGATCCATCAAGTTATGATTGTAACACGCGGTGATAAAACTTATCAATCACGTGTTAGAAAGAATATTCCGTACTCTCCGTTCTCATCCATATCGAATTAAGCAAGCTTCGGGCGATTATTTCACGAGCCAGTTTCGACGTGCGTCGAAAGATCATCTCCTTTCCTTTCAGCGTTTCACGGCTGTTTCATTTTTGTGTTTCGTCTATCGGGTTTATATACCGTTGCGTTGTACGGCGCGTATCATCGTGCGCAATTATACGCGCCGCGTGCAACAAAGGAGCGTAGCGAGTACGCGCGAGTAACCTCCTTACGCGTTTGACTCTTAAGCCGGGATAACTCGAAAAGTGCTTAATTAAAAAATATACAGTCCTTGCAAGTTGCTGCATGTTGCGTTTCTCCATTCCTTTCAATTGGCAAACCAAAAAGATGTATGTAATAGATAAACGTGTACAAATTAGATTCTCATGGACCTAGAAATTTCTTTGATGGTTTAATCCGCCGATAAACATGTATTTACCGTATAATCTAATCGTGAGTTTCAAGAGACTTGCACAACCAGCTGTGCACGCTGAGCCAAACACCTGTACAATAAATTCTCGTAGCAATTATCGCGTATTATCATTTTTGGAATAAAGTCTTAGCTCGTTATAGAATTGTGCAGAAAATATTACGGTAAACTATAAAGTTATACCTTTGATTTAAGGAATAAGCTTGAATAAGCTTTCTATTAATCCTCCAGTAACAATGTTGTACTTTAAACAATGTTGTGCTTTTCACAATTGATTCTTTGATTGAGAATTCTGACATAGATAAATTTAAATCTGCATTGAGAGAAATGAGTTTGTTACGTAGGAACAAAAAGACGACTAGTTAAACAAGCCCGCACCAATTATATGAAAAATTGAGTCCCGGATAAATCGATTGATTTTCGCGTATGTGGCAACTTAAAATATGGTAAACAATCAATATTATATATATGGCTTAAATAGACAGTTTTTCAGCTATGATGTATCAAAAATGTAAAACTTGTGCTTACAGAGCACCTTTGCTGTACCGCAGCTCAAGAACTGTTCATTGTTTGAATGATATGTATGTATGTTAACATTTTTTGTTGATTACATTTTAAGCTACAATATGAAAGCCAACTCATTTCACCGAGACTCAATTTTCCATATAATTAGTACAAGGTCCTTTTTTATC